AATATGTAGATGGTATCAGTGAACGGTTTTGTGTTAGGTCATTGTTCTGTCGATTTTGTGATATCAAACATTACAGGAGTATCGTTTTCAGCTGATATATATTTGATTGAATTATTCTGGCATTCGTCTAGAAGGGTGGAACTGCACCGCGTATGTGAAATAGCGTTGCATTGTTCCTTAATAATTCAATTCAATGCATTTATAACAATACAAAGATAATTCGTTTCAAACACAAAATTCTACGTGGTAGTGCTGGTAATATTCAGCTGCTACGCAGTAAATATCCTTGTTTTACGGGGCACAAAGTTTCATGTTCGCACAGAAATACATAAGCTGGCTTTAATCCAAATCAGTTTACACGCGTCCCTTCGCAAGCCTACATTAATTATCTTATTTATTTAAATATTGTCCTATTTCCTACACTTACATTTCACAAGTAGTTCACTAATCTTCGAATTTTCATGCCATTATTTAGTATGCATTTCGGTCACAGACACTACGAGATAAGACGTCACACGTGGGGGTTGGTTTTCCCGTTCAAATTCTAGAATTCTCCTATTTTTAATTTCGGCCCTGACATAAATATGCTGATAGCTGTCTTTTGGAATATTGCCACGTGCATCCTCGTAGAAGTTGACCGACGCTTCGGAAGTGGTTACTGCTGCCATCATCAGGGCGATTGAACTGTTGATGGAGGTAGCAAGGAGCTCTGAAACGTCGGTAATCTTCTACCAGACTACGCGGTGCAACAACCCAGGAACCAAATATCACACACACACCATCACTTGAGGGCACCAGAAGAGAATGAGAAGATAATATTAAAATGGACCTTAAATAGAGCTTGAATGTATTTATCTCGTTCGCAACGATGTCAAGTCCCGATCGAAAGTAAAACCTTTGGTTTCTATAGAATACAACGAATTTGGACTAGCTGAGCGACTGTAAGATTCTGAAGAAGGGCTTTACGACTTGAAGACATTAATTTTGCTTTGCATTTAATGCTGTGATTAGAATTCAGAATAGTCAGAACGTGAGACTTAGACAGACTTACTTATGAACAGAATTATATTTTTAAATTTTAATGTTAATCATACCGATATTATTAATATATTTTTTAAAATTTAAAATAAAGTCTTCATAAATTTTAAATGTCTGCTGTTAACGTTCTGTTATAGTTAGAAAATTTTAACAAAAAAAATCTATTACCCATTTCTGTTCAAATTTTTAGCGTCGTAAATGAGAAATTCTTTGGAAGTTCATTAAATATGCTTTAAATGGCTCTTTCTATAATACAAATGAACACGCTGGAATCACTTAAGGCATTATTATTTAATGTATTCAGACCGGATATGTAAAAACGTGGCGTCCTTAATATATTTAATAATACGTATAATGCAAATATATGCCGATGTTGACGGAAATAGGGCAGTGTTATAATGAATAAGTGTCTGTATCTTTAAGTCACGAATGTCTTGTAAATAACTCGCTATTGGTTGTCGTCATAACACTGATAATGTGCAGTGTCTCATTACCAAGTATAGTCTTTTTATGTTTATGACTTTGAAAATACGTCCATATTCCTGTACATGTTTTATCGTTTTTGGCGACTGCATTTAAAACTTAAGGTCGTGGCTCTAGATGGCAATTTAGTTGTGTCGTGTTTTTTTGTGTGACAGTTGACTGTCATCACGCACTAGACGACGATAAGAATCATCGAATCAATTGGACCTCGAAAAAACAAAATATCGGTAACACTAATAATTATATAAAATAACACACTAGAATCACTGTTTATGAAACTCTCTAATTTGAAAATTAAACCATTATGAATAATGTATTATATAAAAATTATTTGTTATCAGTGACAGCCGAACTTGAAATTGCTGACGAATTAGATATCTTAACTGTTAACTTACTGGTATTTAACGCGAAATTCTCGTGTGCTTTGTTTATTCACGTGGAAATTCCACTTTTTGCGGCTGATTTATTACTAACTCGTACTTGACAGTATGATAGAGAATTTTCTACAAAATTGGCTGATAATGGTTTTGGACTTAATGGTTTTTCGTGTGATAAATTTTCACGTTCATTTACATTTTTTGTGATAAAAGTTTTACGTTTCGACGATCGCCTTGGCTTTAGAGTGGAACAAGGAATGAAATATAATTAAAGAAGTTGGGGGATAAGGTAGAGTTACAGAGAAATGAATTTCTGCTTCATAGTAAACATTATTTTAAGTATGCTCTTGCAGGTTGGGCGTGGACATATGTAGACTTCTTTTGTTGTTATGTTTAAGTAAGAGTCTTGTGATTGGTCGA